TTAGTGATTCTGAGCAATTAGGTTAATTATTGATCAGGCACTTCAGCTATGTCACTCCAAGTTTGTCGAATATCAGTTCAGTTAAATACATGTAGTACTGTATGTATGGAGTCCTCATTCTCTAACCAGTAGATACTATCCACTGATAAAGTTTACCTATCTGAATCCTACTGAACACCAAAGGCCTTAGGGCCAAACTAGAAGGGGTCGTCAACCAGAAAGCCCCCTTTTTTGTTTTTGGCTTTTAAATGGGCTGGATGTGTATCCTCTGTTTAGTAAATCATTGAGTCCTAGACTATATTTTGTTTCCATTCTAATATTCCTTCCTTTCTGTTTGAAACAGGTGGGGATTATTCTAATTCGGGCTACCTTGATGCACTAAAACATCTTACGGATCTGAAAGAAGAAAGGTTAGTTTCAGCTCAATTGTGCTTCATCCATCAACATGGAGCTCGAATTTCTTGATTAGTCTGGACTCTCTGGATTATTTAGTGATGTGGCATGCAGGTAAAATTAAGACCATCGCATTAACCAACTTTGATACGGAGAGGTTACACATAATCTTGGAAAATGGGATTCCAGTTGTTAGCAATCAGGTAATAACCTTTTATAATTAGTTCAATTTAGATTTTTGGGGTATGGCAAATATAATGTGTCCTGAGTTGTGAGCAAACTGTGATTGTTTCTTCAGGTGCAACATTCAATTGTGGACATGCGTCCTCAACAGAAAATGGCAGAGCTTTGTCAGCTTACAGGAGTTAAACTAATAACGTCTCTCTCTCTCTCTCTCTCTCTCTCTCTCTCTTCTCTCTCTCTCCTCTCCTCTCTCTCTCTCTCTCCCAAGTGTGTGTGTGCAGGTGGGTGTCTGTGTGTGAGACATAAAACCTTGTCAGTTCACTAATTCAATGGATAATGTCCTTTTGTCCCAAACAGGCACCCATGATAGTCCTGTTTCTTAAGTTTTCTGTGTGTTAGCTGTCCTTGAGAGTGAAATTGATCAAATCAAGTTCTGAAGTTGACCTCTGAGGCAGCTCATCAACATTGCTTTGAATGTTATTTGGATGTGGTCTCTTCAAAAAGTTGCCAATACTATTTTGAAAGATAATGATATTGATACCTTTTATGGACTCTGGGTACACAAAAGCATTTCAAAATTAAAGTCTTTTCAGGGTAAACTGCACTGTAAACCCTTCCATTCTCCAAGACTCTTTCCAAGTCTAACATAGCTTCATCTGCAGGTATGGAACAGTATATGGGTGGGCTGTTGTCTGAGAAGTTCCTCGACACAAACTTATCCATTCCTTTTGCTGGTCCTCCATTGAATACTCCTTCGCTCCAGAAGTACAAAAGGGTATGGTCTCCTTTGAGCATGATTATTGCAACAGTTATCATCAGGAAATTTTTTTTGTGAATAAGGAATATATGGCATTACATTCTATCAACACAAACATATGTAGTCTACTTGAATTCTGCAATGTTGTTACAGAAAAAAAAAAGGCAACAAGAATTTTGGTCTGTGGCATGGAAATATGTATGAAAAACAGAAACTTAAATATTCATTCGGAAAATATACACAAAAATTTAAGAGTTTCCGGAATAATCTGGGAAATATGCTCCATATTTGTGAGAAATTCAGTTAATTATATGCAATCAAACCAGTGAAATACGTTCAGCCGAGAGTACAAGTATGGTGCTCTTCTTTCTTCAAGTTTTTGAACAAGCAAGCATGATGCTTTTAGTGAATGAAATTGTATTTACAAATTCACTATGCACGTGACAGATGGTTGATGCTTGGGGAGGATGGAGTCTCTTCCAGGTTTTGCTTCAAACCCTGAAAAAGGTAGCTTCTAAGCATGAGGTTTCAATTCCAACAGTTGCTGTGAAATACATTCTAGATCGGGTATAAGTTATTTCTGCTATTTAATTTGATGGGGCTTTTGGAAAAATGAACCATATCATTATACCCTCCATTTGAACTATTTTGCCACACACTTTGTGGGATTGCAGCCCTCAGTGGCGGGATCAATGATAGGTGTTAGACTTGGCCTGTCAGAGCATCTCAAAGACTCCAATGCTGTGTTTTCACTTGTTCTTGATGATGAAGACACAGGCAGCATACAAGAAGTGTCAAAGAAAGGGAAAGATCTGCTAAGAGTAATTGGTGATTGTGGGGATGAATATAGGCGTGCATAATACCATCACTTTTATGTTTGGATCGTGTTGATTACATTTTTTTGGCACTTTTCTTTCAGCAATGAATTTTGTATATCACATACATCTTGTTATCTGTAACTAATTCTGTAATATCACTCGATACTTGCACAGAAATACTTTTTGTGATCTTGGTCCAAAAGTGTACACCTATATGTTAGTTCTTGATGCTTCATTCATGTTTAATTTCAAAATTCAGAGTTATTCTATTGTGTTCAGCTGTGCAAATACATTACCTGCATTTTCTACTTCTTTAGGGAGTGCTACAGCCCCTTGAGACATGGTTTGAACACAAGTCTATGCCATATGAGCTGTTCCAATATCTGTAAGGCGAAAAATTCTAGGATGAAGTTTACCCTTATGTCGATTGGTAGAATATTCAAGCAAGTTATTAAAAGTGATTTAACCGTGGATCCTAACACTTATAAGAAGCTTTTCCTACAAAAGGTTAGGCCGAAGAAATTTGTCACATTAGTGGACTTAGAATCGGCTAACAATCCCTTCAAAAGAAAGTATAGGTCAAGTAACACTAATGCTATTGAGACATAATTAAAGGACATAATTTAGAGATATAATGAGTTATAACCAATGAAAATGATAGTGAAATGTATTTAATGATAGGTCTCACTGTAGTATTAAATGAATTCATTATTATATCATGGATAATAATTTATTATATCCCCAAATTATGTCTCAATAGAATTGTTGGTCAACTAAACCTGCACTTCATTTCTTTGTATGTCCCATGTATTTGCTGGGAAGTGATCCATACCTTGACTTGGAAGACTCCTTTCCCTTTCCAAAAAATTCAAACTATAACCATGAATTAAGGGTAACGGTTTTTTTTGGTTAGGAAACTCATTGAATGTTGAAGACAACTTTCAACTTCATAGGAAAAGTATTTCTGAGTTATTAAAAAATTATAGATTTAACTACTCACTAAAAAGTTAATATTTATTCCCAAATAAGTTTAAGTAGTAGACTTAACTCATTAAAAGTCCCCTAAGGAAAATCTAGTGTCAAATTTCTAGGATCTAAAGTCGAAGTTTTAATTTCAATACTGTTAGGCATAAACCCAATCATGAGAAAAGATAGGTATAGTGTATGGACCATTGCACCCCTCTAGATTTCATCCCTTTTTAAGCACGCTGAGCTCGTTGAATAGTCAGCTAAAGTATAAACGCCGTGTAGCCCGAAAAACAAAAAAAACTCTAGTCAAGAGAAAGTCTAGGTCAAATAAACATGCACTTTATTTCTTTGTATGTCCCATGTAGTTGCTGGGAAGTGATCCATATCTTGACTAGGAAGGTTCCTTTTCCCTTCCCTAAAAGAAAATTGGGGAATTCAAACTATATTTGAGTGTCATGCCTTGTATAAATCAACCCCCCCCCCCCCAAAAAAAAAAAAAAAAAAAAAAGAAAAACACATTAACGAGATCGAGCACCAGGCTTTTGTCATGGATGGAGATGAGGTGACATTGACTCAAGCCCGAGAAACTACGAGAGTAAAATCACTACAAGCTGGGGCAAGTTCTAGAGAGAGAAGAAAGGATTACGAGGCCCCCAAAGCAATGGCAAGCCATCAACAACAAGAACGAGCACGCGATGAAGCTCACTTTCTATCAGAAGCTTCACTTGAGTATTCTTTAAATCTCATAGAGCGTCGTCTTGAGGAAAGGCGTGAAATACAAAGAGAAGAAGGCACAAGCTCAGCTATATGCATCTTCAGGCTTCCTCGTAGCCTTGTAGGTATCAATAACAAGTCCCAACAGCCTGAGATTGTATCAATAGGCCCTTACCATCGTGGCAAGAACCATTTGCTCAAGTTTGAAGAGCACAAATGGTCATTCTTAGACAAACTTCTTTCTCGAATAAGTTTTACTGAAAGAAATCTATATGTCTGTCTTGGTGAGATGAGAGAGCTAGAAAAGCGCACAAGAGAGTGCTACTCTGATAACATCCTCATGTCTAGTCATGACTTCATTGAAATGATGTTACTAGACGGGTGTTTTGTGATTGAACTCTTACGGCATCTTGGTCATAGTCAAGACGTCATCAATGAGGATGATCCTATCTTCACAAGGCCATGGTTGATTCCAATACTCCTAAGGGACCTCCTGAAGCTGGAAAACCAGATTCCATATTTTGTTCTTCAATATTTGTTTGAATGGTCTCGAGGTTTGAGGGATAATAAAGCTGACGACCTATCTGTTCTTGCTTCGAAAGTTTTTGATCTAGCCTTTCCAAGGTCTAGGGAAATTATCTCCACTATCCACCATCTAGAAGCCAAGCATCTACTCGACTTGGTTTACTTGAGTCATCTACCCTCCAATCAAGTCACCAATTTCCGAACGCTAGAGGAATATCGTCCATCAAATCAGTCAATACAATGCATTACGCAACTGCGTTCATCAGGGATCAAGTTCAAGTCTAATAAAGATAATAGCTTCTTAGACATAAAATTCAAAAACCGGGCGCTTCAAATTCCTACCATTACCATCAATGATTTCACCAGCACCCTTCTCATAAACTCTGTTGCCTGGGAACAATACCAGGAAGATATTGGCTCCAAATACTTCACAGACTACGTCTGTTTCATGAATTGTCTGATCAACCAACCAAGAGATGTCGCATTTCTATGTATGGATGGAATAATCACAAGATTCTCGCAAGATGACCACTCTGTCGTGAATTTGTTCAATAAACTTGGGAAGAACGTCGTCTTCAGCAATCAAAATTGCTATCTATCTAAGCAGTTCAAAGGAGTAGAGGCCTATTACAGCAGCTATTGGGGAACCATGATGCGAACTTATTTTAGCAGTCCATGGTCATTTATTTCAGTCTTTTCTGCTTTCATTGTCATAGTTCTCACTATGATACAGACTATCATGTCTGTCTTGAGTTACTGTAGACAATTTGGTTAGATTTTTATTTAGGATGTTTTAGCCATTTATTTTTATGTTCTTAAATGTATGTTTTTAATCTGCAATGAGTAACAAAGATGTATTGTCAAGATACGGCATTAGAAGTGCATCTCAGATCCTTTCTCTCGGCCTCGCACTTGTCTCATCTCAGTCTCTCGATCATCCCAGGGCTTCTAGTCCCAGCACTCCAGCGGTCACGACTCACTCAGTCTTGAAAATCATCTGCCTCTCGATCATCTCTCTTGTCTCTCAATCATCTCTAGATTGCTGGCTTGAATCGAAATGGGTAAGAGCAACTCCAATGAGAGGTGCCATTTTTTGGGTGACAAATGCCATTTTGAACTGTATTTTGGAGCCTCTAAATTATAAATTTGCTCTAATACTCTATTAGGTAGAGAAGATGGAAAGTAAAAAAGATAGAAAGTAAGAGGAATACATTTTTTATCTTTCAAAGATGAAAAGTAGAAGGGATACACTTTCTTTCCTTTGTATTTGATTGGATGGATGAAAAATAAAAATAACTATTTTTTTTTTTTTGGTACTGGCTAAGATTAGGAGTAACAATTGAGTCAAGTCGTGTCGCATCAGATTCGTGTTGAATCATTACGAGTTTGTGTCAAATATTAGTCAAACCTAATTTAACTTATTTAACTAATTGTGTTATGTCGAGTTACGAGTTGATCATTTTATTTCCATATTGAATTCGAATCGTGTCATCGTGTTTAGTCGAAAATTTTTAAATTTTTACCCTTAGTTAAGATAGAAAAAATATTTTTTTTAATTAAAAAAAAATTAAAAATTTTTTAAAATATATTACCATTGTACTTTTATATGAAATTAATGTATACATAAGATATATAGACAAATAAGATACATCTTAATACAAATAATTAACTTTTTATCCACTTTCCTTTCGATTTTGGAAGGATTGATTTTGGTGAGTTAGAAGGAAAGTTAATCCATTCATTTTTCATCCTCCCACTTTTTCATCGTACCAAATAGAACATAATGGTTGGTGCTAAAATGGGGTATCATTTTAATATTTTAATATTTTTTATTAAAAAATTTATTTAAACTTAACGATTATATTTTAACGGATATAGTTTTCATAATGATCGAAATTTAACGGGTATATTTTCATAGTAAAAATTTTAATTTCAAAATTCAACCGTTGAAATTCAAATTTGAAAATTTAATCGCCAAAATAAAAATTTAAAAAAGTATAATTCATCTATAAATATAATTATTTTTCTCATATTTTCATCCATCTATATTACATTCTCTCTATAAATTTAATATCTCATTTTTCTTTAACTATTTATCATTTCATATTTTCATTCATCAAGATATATATATCGTTATCCTTCAATTTCAAGTTGTATTTTCAATTTCAAGTTGCATTTTCAATACATAATTTTTCATAAATAATAGTAACATAATAAATAATGACTACAAATTAAAAATTAATAGCAACATAATAAATAATGACTACAAATTAAAAAAACAATAACAACATAATAAATAACGACTAAAAATTAAAACCCCGCTTTTTCATAATCTCTACCTTTAGGTTATATTTCAATATGTTGCGAAAATTGGGTCCATGTCAATAGTGTCAATTTCCATGATTTTCATTTTATTCTACATTTCATTTTGCCTTTTAATTTCTTACACCTGTCTTTCTTTAATTTCTAATTGTCTACAATGTTGCTCCAATGCTATCTCCTGTTGAACATAAATTTTGTCGTGTCACTCAATTTTTTGTCGTTTCACTTCCATTTTTTGATTGCAATGATAATGATCTACTGATGCTTCAACACCAGTTTGTTTCTTTTTGTTTTTAAGTTATTTCTTTAAAGCCTTTCTACCCAATGGTCTATCGAGGTTGGGAGTGGACGAGGGTTCAGCGTCATCCCCCAAATATGAAGTTGAATAGCAAGATTCAACATGAGTTGATTCAGCAGGACTACTTGTTGAATGTGTTTTTGCTCTCTTATTGCTGGTGAGATTATCGGTCTATTTTCGCTCCATTTTCAATATATTTCAACAATGCTCGTAT